ATATGTCCTTATTGCACCACCCCAATGGACAAAAATGGGTCCGCAAAGAAGTTTAGGAATATATGTTGGTTATGAGTCAGTATCTGTTATAAGATATCTTAAACCTTTAACATGTGATGTTTTTATAGCACACCTAGGCGATTGTTAATTTGATGAGGCAAATTTCTCACCATTAGGAGGAGAAAAGAAAATTCAAGAAAATGATGTTTCCTGGCATGAACCTTCCTTATCATATCTTGACTCTCGCACAAAGCAGTGTGAAATAAAAGTTCAAAAGATAATGCATTTTCAATAAATGACAAATCAATTGTCTGATGCATTTACTAATGCGAAAAGGGTGACTAAATCATATATATCAACCCTCAATGTTCCAGCTCGAATTGAAATTACAAATGAACAATCTGATTATAAATTCAATCAAGAGTCTAAAACACGCCTGAAGTGTGGAAGAGCATTTGGTTCTAAGGATAAGAACCCACGGGGAAAACAAAAGTAGAATATGCACTACATCATGAGGAAAATATTCTTGGAGAAACACGAAATATTACAATTCTTGTAACACCCCATTTATTAAATAAATAAATAAATAAATTGATGAGTGTATAGTAGCCCTAAAATCAATAATTATATAGCAAGGTGTTGGTCCCGGTGGTTAATTGTTACAATTTTAGAAGTTGGGGGTTAAAAGTGCAAGTTCTGGAGTTAATTTAAAAATGATTTTAGAAGTCAGGGTGCGTTTGATAAATTTTGGATTTAATTGAAATAAAATCATGAAGAGAGGGGCTGAATAGTAAATAATGGATTAAAGTTGAAAAAATTTATGGAGGCAAGGGTTAAAGTGTAAGTTGGGATTTAAATTGAAAACAATTATTGTGGGGAGGGACTATTATTGCCGAAATGAATTACAGTCTGTTGGAGTCACGGGATATACCCGATCCTCCTTTCCCTCTCGTAAACGAATGCTGCCCTAACCCCAATTCCCTACACTTCAGCAGCCGCCACCACCAAGAGCTTCCTTAGCCACCGCCTTCGTCGCTGTTCCGATCAGACGAAGCCTCCTCGCCATTGAACGCCACCTCTATGCTACTGCCGGTGACGTAAGGGAGCCGAGGAGTCACCGAGATCGACGACTACAACCGCGTTCGTCCTTGTCTGGCGGCGTGAACAACCGGAACCGCTTGGTAAGTCCGACTGCAACTCACCTCTCTCCTCTTCCTCATTATATGCTGAGAAAATGGCGATGGAGACGTCATGGCTGCTGCCGGTGGCTTTTGGTCTTCATTTTCTCGACATTCTGGCAGCGTCAGCCGTATGAAGGGTGGTTGGGCGATTATATGTCTAGAATATAGGTTGCTGCTGTTGTTTTGTTGATCTATGAGTTATTTTGGGCCGGAAAACCCACCACCACCACCTCAAGGTGGTGGCTGCCGCCACTATCACTGTTTCTACCGCCACCAACCACCGTGAGTGGTGGCTGTGTGTGTGTGTGTGTGTTATTGTGTGTGGGAATGGGTATTTTGTGGATATGATTTTGAATATGCAAGTTTTGGTCTGGAACAACCACCACCACCATTGGAAATGGTGGCTGCCGTCGTGAGCCGCCGTCGACCACTACTGCCCGAGGTGGCAGTGGGTGGTGCCCGGCCTAGTAGAACCCCAATGGACCTAAAAGCCTAAATGGTGGACTTGGTTGGTTCGTTATTGGGCTAAAAACCCTAATTAGGGTTTAGAAAACCGTAATTGTGAATTTGTTGGTTTGGGCCTATTGGGACCCGCGTTTGGACCAGTAGACTGAAGTTGTGACTCATGCCGATTCCATTGTATGATGACTTAGTGGAATAATGGACTTAATGGGTTAAGTCCTTAATGGGTTAAGTGGGAACACTTAACCCTAATCATCATTTCATGTGAAGACCCTAATTTGTTGGGTTTGGAGTTGGGCCTCCTGTTGGGCCTAGATGTTTTGGGCTATTGATGGACCATCCAAGAACAAGTATAAGGACTAGAGTATTTGTCTGGGCTTTAGGATAAAGGCCCATTGGACAGGATTGAGCCCAATTGGGAAAATTGGGCCATAGATGGGCCATATTTGGGCCTTGAAGATTATGAGGTATTGGACTATTGGATTGCCAAGTGCTTGGATCAATTAAATGGTTCGGCCTTTAAAGTAAGACCGTGTGAAGGATTTGGACCCAATTTAGAAAATTGGGTCATAGTTGGGCTTTAGTTGATTATCAGACTATTGGGCCTTTGGATTGGACCTTGGGCTTGAATCAAGCTAAGATAGGGGTAAAGTAGTCTTTTACCCCAAGTATGGACTTATGGACATGAGTTGGAACCCAATTATTAATTGGGTGTTATTTTGATATTTGACAGATCGGGAATCTGTCATCTAGCAGCTATGGTTTTGTCAGCGGGACTTCAGTAGTGTGAGGTGAGTCCTCTTCCAGTAGGAACGGGTCTAAGGCACCAAAGTCGGCCCGTATATGCGATACGTTAGTAGTTGAGTGTGGGCGGGGCCCGTATCTCATTATTATCTGAGTATAGATATTAGTCAGATTATTGGATTGCTATAATTGTTGTCTGTGTGATACATGTATGTGTTGTTAGGAATGTGAGTGTGGGCAGGACCCGTATCTCATAGATGACTGATATGGTACATATGTATATGCTTAGTGATACTTGTTGTTTGTGTAGTACTTGTATGTATTTTTATGACTAGCTGAGTGTGGGCGGGGCCCGTATCTCATAGATGGATGATATGGTACAGATGTATATGCTTAGTGATACTTGTTGTTTGTGTAGTACTTGTATGTATTTTTATGACTAGCTGAGTGTGGGCGGGGCCCGTATCTCATAGTAGCTGAGTGTGGGCGGGGCCCGTATCTCAGAGCCAGCGGAGTGTGGGCGGGGCCCGTATCTCCTAGTTAGCGGAGTGTGGGCGGGGCTCGTATCTCCTTGAGTGTGGGCGGGGCCCATATCTCAGAGCCAGCGGAGTGTGGGCGGGGCCCGTATTTCCTAGTTAGCAGAGTGTGGGCGGGGCCCGTATCTCCTTGAGTGTGGGCGGGGCCCGTATCTCTCAGTAGTATGATTATGTGTATGATATGTGATAGTTTGGGGAGACTCACTAAGCTTCGTGCTTACGGTTTTCAGTTTTGGTTTCAGGTACTTCGGTTTTCAAAAGAGGAGCTCGGGATGATTGCAGTGCACACACCATTTATTCAGCCTGGGAGTATTTATACTCTGATATATATTTGACAAACGTTAAGATATTATTGGGATACACGATTCATGATTTCTATATGTTGAATGATAGATATGGTTTTATTAATGATTTAGAACGAAATTTTTAGACTGTATAATTGGGATGTTACAATTCTCCTAAGAGAGGAAGATGTTGCAATAAAAACGGTCAAACAAATAGAGTATGTGACCAAGATGAAACTGGTAATATAAGTGCAATATTTTCTTATTTAGTTGCATATGATACTATCAATGATGATCCTGAACCAGAATCTGTCATTAAATGTCAATGCAGAAATGACTAGACTAAGTGGAAGGAGGCTATGCAAGTTGAATTAAATTGTCTTAACAAGAGAAAGGTTTTTGGGGTCATTATTCTCACACATGGAGTTGTGAAGCCATTAGGATATAGATGGATCTCCGTACGAAAAAGAAATGAGAAAGACAAAATTGTAAGATACAAGGCTTGACTTATGGCTCAAGGTTTCTCTCAAAGACCTGAAATTATTACGAGGAAACTTATTCCCATGTAATGGATACAACCACTTTTAGATATTTAACCAGTCTGGTAGTCTCTGAAAATTTAAAGATACGTCTTATGGATGTTACAACATACTTGTATGGATCACTTGATACTGATATCTATATGAAAATTCTAAGGATATAAATGTATGAAGCATTAAGTGCAAAACCCAAATAAATGTATTCTATGAAATTACAAAGATCTTTGTATGGGTTAAAACAATCTGGACGCATGTGGTACAATCGTTTAAGTGATTATTTGACAAGTAAAGGTTATAAAATAAACACTATTTGCTCATGTGTATTTATCATGGTTTTAAAAAGTGCGTTATGGCACGCCTCAAGGCGTGCCATGGCGTGAGGCGTGATATAGCCGTTACGAAAACGCTCAATGTGGGTTTATTAAGCGTGTTGTCCAAATAACGTGTCAAGGCGCGCCTTATCGCGTTATGGCACGAGTTTTTTTCAAAACGCGAGTTTTTATGTTTTTGATTTTTTGGTTTGTTTTTTTGATTGGGCCAAAAATAAATGAGCTTTTTTAACTTTTTTATATTAAATATTAATATAACACTTCTAAAAACATTGCCGTTAAACCCACATCTCACGCTATTTAGAACTTTGGCATTTATTAAGAAAACAACATTTGGATATGTAATCATAGTTGTCTATGTTGATAATCTAAGCATCATTGGAACAAATAAAAAAAATCATTGAAGTGATTGAACATTTTATAAAACTGAAACTGGCCCAATATTTCGGTCTTAAAAAAAAAACTCAAACCCAAACTGTCGGTTTCTATTACTGTTTTGAGTTTTCATTTTCATTTTTGTCGGTTTTTCGGTTTTTCCAGGTTCGGTTTTGCTCACCCCTACCTTGTAGGCTCGGCATGCCGACCTCAAAGGCACAGTGTACACTCAGGCCAACTCAGCATACCCACGTGGCTTGCCGTGCCAGTCCTCTTAGCCTTATAAAAAGCAATATATTTTATTTTTGAAGTATAAGACTACTACACCTGTTACTAGTTAGACAACATATAAATACATTGTCATTATGGTAAAATAAATAAATAAATAAACTCTTGAACATATTTCTATTTGTGTAAAAAAAATAGATTTTGTATTGATAAAAAAAGTACATTGCTATTTCCTTTCAATTTGACCAAAAAATTATAAGTTTGATAAAATAAAATCTGTTTTACTTTTTCTGACTTAAAAGACCTACAAAACCATGTCAATGTTGTGGTTGTAAATTTCCCCAATGCATAAATGTACATCAACTTCTGTTGATCGAACTAAGTATAAATGACAAAAGTACAATAACATAAATGCATCACCTCTCTTTTCCTTTCTCTTTCTCTCTCTACATTCTTGTCAATTTGTAATGGGACCCACTATTACACTTGTTAAATATAACATTATAATATTAATTAATAATAGACAACAATGGATGATTATCAATGTTAAAACAGTTCAACTGCTGACGTGTACACGACACTCTATAATTCCATTATCAGTCAAGTCACCAACAAGCGGGTTGCTATTTGGGAATTCTTCAACAAGTTTATAATTCATAAATGCCCCCACTGCCCCTAGGAATCCCTCGTGTCTTAGAAACATTGCTTTTGCCTCCCCTTTCGACCTAAAAGAGTCCAACATTTGTTACACTGAATGACAAGGGCATTTTTGTCATTTTCACTTACAAGTTTCATGTTCCATATTGCTACTATGAAAAAAAAAAAAAGATAAAGTACATTTTACAAGTTTCGTGTTGCATATTGTTATTACTTATTATAGGTAAAGAAATGAAAATATGGGTAAAGAAATGAAAATATATTGCTATTATGAGTAAAATATAAAATGTTAAAAAAAAAAAAAAAGGTAAAGTAGGTTGCTATTTGTTATTATGGGTGAAGAAATAATTACCAAAAATCAACTGCCACGGATATTGTGTCCATGGTGTATGCATGACCACGTATGAAAAATCCTCCAAAAAATATTTTCTTGAGACCAAATCGAAGTGCATTTAAATACGCAATCTGAAAAGAGAAATAAATAAAAAATAAAAACTCATCATAATTAACATTAGCAAAAAGAAAAGATGTGGGCCCACCTGTCCTATATTGTTGGAGATCATTCTTAAAAGGGACCTTGCAACATCTTCAGGTTTGTATTCTTCAAGCTCTTTGTTTTCTGAAATTGCTTTGCCAAAACTAGATGCAATTGCTGTTGATGAAAGGCCAATCTATTCCCAAATTTTAACAATTTTTTTAGTTTTGTAGATACTAAATTTTATAATTTTAATTAAACCATACAACTTTTTTTCAAAAGAAAGAAATAATTAAGATATGTAACCTTTAGGTAATCCATTCCACCATAAATATCTCCAACAAGCATATCAATCACTCTATTGTTTCCCTGATGACTCATCTCCAGCAAATCATCAAAACTGAGGCCAAAAAAAAAACATTTCAAATTGTAAAAAAAAAAATGTTGACTTTAATTAGAAATTTATGTAATTTTTTTTCAAGTAACCTCTTGCACTTTGTTAAAAGCTTTCCCAAACCCCAAAATGTCCCTCCACCTACACTCGTTCCACTTACTCTTTCATACTTTCCATCTCCATCAACCTAAAAGCTCGTAATTATTTAGTTTCAGTAAATAAAAAAAGAAATTGTAAATAAACAAAAGGATAAAAAAAGAATTAATAATGAATTTACCTTTATCATGCTTACACCAGATCCAATATTAACAAGGAGATATGGATATAAATCATTGTGATCAATTTTCACATAATTTCTTTGCCCATTCACGTATGTGAAAGCTTCAGATGGCACTGCCTATTCATGAAATGATCAAATGAGTATAGAAGGGTAAAATGGTCATTTACTCACACTAGGAAAAACTTTCATTCAGTCCAAAAAAAGAAAGAAACGTTGTGAAACAATGAATCATAAGAGTAAGTTTTCATGGGGTGTAAGAAATAAGAATCCCACCTTTAAAAGAAAATTTGCTCCTGATACAAGGCTGCTCATTTCTTCTACCTTATCAAGACTAATATCAAGCTTTTCTTTAAAAAGATCTGCAAATTTAAATGCTCCTCCACCTGTTGCCTTCATCATGATATAAATATATAAAAAGTATCAGCTAATAGCTTATATACATACATACATACACATATACATATACTTTTTGATAAAATATCAATGGTCTTCACCTTAATAATATTCTTGTCGCTTGTTGGGAACCCACAATGTTGAATACCTGAAGGCAACATGATCCAAATTAGACAAAGGCCTTCACACTGATAATTTATTCAGCAAATCATATTGTAGCTTTTCTTTAAGAAGCATACCTCTACATCGAAGCTGCTTTGATGATATGAAATCCAAGCATTCATTGATTTTGCTTGTTTCAAATTTTAAAAAGTAAAGCCTTCCATTAAGAAAACGTCCATCTTTCTGTGTTTTCTCTGTAGGTTGTTCTCTTTCGGTGGAGAAATACACCATCTTGATGAGAGAACCTGATAAGAGCAAGATTTGGTGAACAAGTTGATGTAAATTGAGCAATTAGTTGGTATTTCGTATTGAATAATTCAGCAACAGAATCGGTTGCCATTAGAGATAATCAGTAACTTCTTTGCTTGCAAGTTGCAACACTTCCAATTTCGACTTGTCCCAAATAAAAATTCCATTTTTGAAAAGATCCCGGCCTAAATTTACCGACCGTTGGCGATTGTTACCAAAATTTATGATGATGATCTTCTTCCAATAGTTTTCTCATCAAATTTGGTTACTAAGTGTGAATAACGTACTTGATTATGTAGTAATTAGTTACTTCTGTTACGTTATGTGCGTGGCAAACAGCAATCGAGTTACAATACTGATCAGCGGGAGAATTGGTTGAATCGGATACCAAAAATTCGAAGAAAAAAAAAAGAAATGATCGAATAGAATCATTCAAGTGAAATGAAAATCGAGAACTGGTTACCTCCTATATCAAGAGCCAAATGCGATATTTCATCTACTGGTGAATTCGCCAATGTCGCTTCCTCAATTCTATCGCCCTCCATCGTTGTCGCTCCCAAAACACACACAAACACAGGGTGAAAAATTAGGGGTTTGGGGATAATTAGGTGGAGTGGTCGATCATGGGTTCAATCATAACACATATATAATAACATTTGTTGATGTCTTATAGAACAATTATTGGTAGTACAAAGAGGAATGACTACTGATGAGAGAGAAACACAGACGACAAGTTGAACATCTTATCGATTTGTTCAAGGCAGTCGCGAGTGAGAACCATGTTTAACATGTCGATACTCGAAAATGGCATCCCAATTTTGACTTTTTTGAATTCCTCGTTTGACTTTCAAACATCGGATGTTGAGGGGTTTAGTTTATTTAAAGAGAGATTATACGAAATCACCATATTTGATATTTGTTGTTTGTGAAATTCTTCTCATAAGGGCTTGTAAGGCTCTTGGGTCTTACAATTGGGTGGGGGTACGGGTGTTGTTAGGTTATCAGGTATGGGTGCGATATGTCGTACGGTTTGCGAAGTCGATTGATGTTCACACCGTGTCGGGTCTTCGGTTCGTCATGCGATGGTGTTGAGCTCGGCTAAAAATTGTCGAGTCTCTCTCCTCGTTATTCTACCTTCTCTTTTCCAAACGGCTAGCTGTATTTATTTAAATTTTTAATATGTTTTTTTCAAAATTTATATTCGATAAATACTCACAACCCTTATCATTTTAAACAACACCAACACCTCCATTTCTCTCACAATCACCTGGAAATGTATTCATCTTTCTCTTCTGAATAATTTCAAGTTATGACTGAAGTTGTTGTCGGGGTTTGTAAAATACTGCAGCAAACGTACAACACTTTCTGTAATGACGAAGCCAAAAGTTCGCATCGGAGATCACAAAAATATATTCAGAGAGATCGTGAACTGCCCACCAACTTTGATGCAAGACTACTTTGACGAGCATGCGGTTTTTCAATGCTAGTATTTTCAAAGGCAGTTCATAATGTTCAGAAATTTATATGAACATATAGTCGAAGATTTGATGAAGGAATGTCGTTATTTCCAGCAACATTCTGATGCTAGAGGTACACTCGGTTTCACTCCACTACAAAAATGTGTAGCCGCACTTTGTCAAATAGCATACGAAATCATGCAATTACAAGCCCACCATGCTAGAGGTACATCAGCCTTGGACGAGGGTTTTAGGATGTCTATTAGGATTGCAAGAGATAATCTCCATTGTTTTGCAAATTTGTGATTAAGATGTAAGATCCTAAAAATCTCAGGCTAAAATTTTCATTTTAGAGTCATTTAAACTTTCATTTTAACAAAAATTGCATTCAAGTCCAACCATTTGTTCATAACCATTATTCAGGAATCATAGTTAAGAAGACAATGTGAAACTTAAATCATAAATTTGTTGATGTGTGTGTACAATCCCGCCTTCGCAATCTGATAAGTACCTGCAAAATAGTTCATCCACAAATGTAAGCACAAAGCTTAGTGACTCCCCTAAAATATCACATACAACACAGCAAAATAACCAGCTATGTTTTATCCGCATCCCTGGAACTATCAATAGTCTCGAATGTCACATACAACACACAATATAACCAATTATCGTTTAACAGCAACCCTGGAGACTATCTATAGTCGCAGTGAGCTAACAACACGCCTTGTGGATTAACAGTACACCTCAAGGGTTATCAGCAACCCTAGGGACTATCAATAGTCCCATGGACTCACAGTGGTCCTAGAGTTTGTTGGATTAGGTGTCTAAGGTCATAACTAAAATTAGTATATACTTGAATTGATAGTAGCACGGTCCTTTTGGGTTGCCCTCAAATCTAGCAATTGGACGAGATGATTTTAGAGAGAGGGATTAATTTATTATGTGAATATTAAATTAAATAAATGATTTATTAATGTATTATGAAAATAATATATTAATTAGAAATTATATTATTTAATTAATAATTAATCAGAAATTAGTTGGAATTAGTTTTGGGATTAATTGGATTAATTAAAAGTATAGGGACTGTTTGGTTAATTATTGAAAGTTGAGGAAGAAAGGCTCTAGAACCTCATTAGATGAGGTGGACGAAAAACTTCTTGGGAAAGCCTAGAATTTTCGTACAAGACTCCTTGGACAAGGGGTTATGGGTTGCTTGGTCACCAAGCAAAGGATCTAGGGCATATCCCTTAAACCCTAGCTTTGGCACCAAGTTTCCTCAACTATATAAGGAGTCCCTAGCCCCTTAATTTCGTCCATGTGTTTCTTTTAAGAGCCTTGGACGGAAATTGTTCTCTCTTCTCCTCTTTCTATAGTTTTCCTCTTGCTAGTATGAGTGTGATTCCATTAGAGGCACGAAACTTGTAGTGCTTGCTTCCAAGACATCAACAAAGAGGAATTCTAGTTGTTTGCTATAACAACTAAAAGGTATGTAATTCTAAAACCCTTTCATCATAATTTCGAAAATTGCCTAGGGTTTGCAGGTTTCTTTTGATGTTGTTATTTATAGGTTCAATAGAGAAAACACAGGTCCTTATTAGGGTTGCACTGCACACTTATGAGTTTAAGTTTTTTTTTTTTTTTTTATAAAACCCATCAGTGGTATTAGAGCTTAGGGTTTATTTTGTGTTGGATAGTTATAATTGAAGAATAGATCAATTAGGGTTTATAGAAATTAAACCCTAAATGACATAAATTTCAACTAGGGTTTGGAAACCCTAGCCTTCCTCCCCAAGATTTCGAAAATATGGCTAGTTTTTAGGGTTTTCAATTTTTTGTAATTGTTATTTCACTTGTTTAAAATAAAATAATTAAAATTGGAATAAACCATATACCCTATTTTCGAAAATTAGAGGGTAAGGATTAGGATTAAATTATTTGATTAATTTAATTAGATAATCCTTAATTGATTAAATTTATTTAATTAATTGTTAATTAAAAGATAATAATCAAAACATTATTGGTTTATTTTAAATTTAATTAATTAGATATTAATTTTGAAATTTAAAATATAAACCCTAGTATTTTGAAAAGTTTAAAATACAACTTATACTATATATAAAGTTAAAAGCTTATAAAATAAAATAAAACAACCAATGAAAGGAAAACATTGTTCCTTTAGGAACAAGGTTTTAATCTTATATATAATTATTACTATATGTATAAGAATAAAGTCATTTAAATCGCTAGTACGCCTCATTCACGAAGCCATACTATAAGGAAGTTTAAGGAAGCGGCCTATAAAATGACCGTCATTGGGTATCCATTCTTATCCACCGCTCTCTTCTATGGTGGAGGGTCGTTAGCCGAATGGGTTTGATAGGACAAATTAATTCTCATTAAAAGTATAATGATATTAAAAAAAGTACTAGAACCTTCTTTTATTAAAATCCCAAATCTAGTTATTTTAGGAAAAATGTGAAAAGTATGCTAATTCATGAAAACGCACATCATGCTTTATATGTCGTTAGTGGAGCGTGTGTGGTTAACTGACACACTAATAGGGACTATAAAGAGATATGATGGGCATCTCGAGAATTATCATTGTTGATGGGGCGTGTGTGGTTAACCGGCACATGAATGTGATATGATAAATGACATCAAGATTGCAAGCGGGTTTGCATGATTATTCACATCTCGTTTGTCATCCTTGGCATCCCAGTCACAAAAGTGAGAGCATAATCTAAGATTAAACATGTCATTGATAAGAATAAATGAGTCTCAAAAGATCTAGGAGTTTCATCAGATTGGAATTGGTAAAAGCCTTACTGTAACGCCTGTAGATCCGGTCTAGTCAATTTAGAGACAAAGAGCATCAAAATGAGTTTTTGATGGAAGATTATTTGGAAGGATTAATCTTAACCAAGTCATAGTATATGTTACAAGGGTTCCGTATATATAAAGAACGCCGAAATCCGAGTTATAGCGAAGAAGTTATGGCCCGTCGAAGTTTTACGGCAAAACCGGCACGGCAGCGGGAGACGTAAACAGTGAATTTATGATAGAAGACTTTTTAGCCTTAGTGATCTAAACAAAAGTTGTAGTATACATTAAACCGAGAACATACAAAAATAGAACACCCAAATCTGACTTCGTATGAGGAAGTTATGAATTTTCTAAGATTTAGCATAGCAGTGCACAACCCGAAACTCGAATTTTAGTTTGAGCGGTTTTTGGCCTACGCAACCTAAATGAGATTTGAAGATCTCATTAATAGGAACACAATGACAAAAAGACAGACGAAAACGGAGTCCGTATGAAGGAGTTACGAATTTTTCGCGGTCATTTAACAATATAATCTCCTCCTACTGTTAAATTTAAGATCGGTCGAGAATTAGCCGACAGAGTCAAAATGAAAGTTGTAGATCTTGTTTTTATCTACGCGTGTATATAAAGAACGTTGAAAGCGGAGCTCGTATGCGAAAGTTACAGGGTTTAGAAGTCGGCAGAGTGTTGCTGCAAAAGGGGTGACGTGGCACAATGTAGGCCACTCACGTTTTGCCACCAGAAAGCTGACATGTGGCATGGACTAGACGAGTTGGAGGTTGACTCGGCGAGTCAAGCTGTCATGAAGCCTATAAATAGAGGTGATGGGTTCCCTTCATTCTCCACACCATCCAACTTCACTTTCACTCTCTACTTTCTCTCTCTAGCCTCCCTTAAGCCCCCTAAAGTCTAGGTAAACCCCCTAGCACCCGAAGGAAGCCCCGAGAAAAGAGCCCTTCGGCTCAGAAACTCTGCTCCGGTGGAGCTCGGTTTTCGAGAAAACCCACTGTAAGTGAGCTATGCCTACCCTATCTTTAGTATAACTTATATTATAAATATAATATCGTTATTATGAACCTATAAATAAGATTTATCAGTGATTCAAATTCGTTATACTGATTGATCTAATTACGGGAATGATGTCTAGGCTGTGATTTAGTGAGGTGTTTAAAGTGGGATTTCCAAACAGTATACTTCGTATACCAAACGGACCCTACCTCCGATATAATGCTACCTGGTTGTTCCTTACTTGATAGATCATGAAAGTAGACTTTGAGTTAATGATGAATCTACACTAATAAGTAGTCGCAATGAATATTAGACTAAAATCTAGTGATAATGATACTAGGTTTCGTCGAAAGAAAATAAATTAATAGAAGCGAAGCGTTGTCTGAGTTCGAAATCACCACCTTAACAAGTGAGTGCATAGTTACTTTCATCTTACACATAGATATGAAGTATTTTATATAAATTACGTGTTATGTGTGCATATTAT